TTCCCTTACTGGTGGGTCCGCTGGTGTCTGGTCAAGGTAGAGCTGTCGCTGAAGCTCTTCCCACACTCCTCACACTTGTAGGGCCTCTCCCCGGTGTGGATGCGCCGGTGCCTGACGAGGTGGGAGTTCTGGTTAAAGCCCTTCCCGCAGTCGGTGCAGCGGAAGGGCCTCTCCCCTGTGTGTATCCGCTCATGCAGGAGGAGATGTGAGCTGGTCTGAAACCTCTTCCCACATTCCCCACACTTGTAGGGCTGTTCCCCAGTGTGGATGAGCTGGTGCCTGCAGAGGTGGGAGCTGCGCCTGAAGCTCTTCCCACATTCCCCACACTTGTAGGGCCGTTTCCCAGTGTGGATGCGCTGGTGTTGGATCAGGTTGGAGCTCTGCCTGAAGCTCTTCCCACATTCCCTACATGTGTAGGGTCGTTCCCCAGTGTGGATGTGCTGGTGTTTTAGGAGGTCGGAGCTCTCCCTGAAGCTCTTCTCACATTCCAAGCACCTGTAGGGCCTCTCCCCAGCGTGGACGCGCTGGTGTTTGAGCAGAGTGGAGCTGTAACGGAAGCTCTTCCCACATTGCCTACATGTGTAGGGCCGTTCCCCAGTGTGGATGTGCTGGTGGCTGAGGAGGGTGGAGCTCTCTCTGAAGCTCTTCCCACATTCCAAGCACCTGAAGGGCTTCTCCCTGCTGGGAGGCTGCTCAGGGACCACCAGCTCGGAGCTCCGGCTCAAGCTCCGGCCGCCTTCCCGGCACAGGACGGCTCTTTCCTCCTCCCAGCTCCCTGGGCTGGCTTTGCAGCCCCTCCTCTGGGGGCATCTCCGGGCCTTTTCCTCCCCGCTGCCTTCCTGCGCCAGGGAGCCCTTCAAAACGGCCTCTCCCACCAGGCTCTGCCGGGGGGATTTGTCCTCCGTGCTCTCCGTCCTCAGCTCGGGGCCTGGGGCAGGAAGGGAGAAGGACAGGCAGGGGATTTGCCTCCGGCCCACAGGGAAGGCCAAGCACATCCCCCCCAAATTTGGCCCCCACAGGTACCACAAGACAGGGCCAAAGGGGCACTGACTTTCTCCTCACCTGCCTGGGGGACCTGCGGCTTTTTCCTGTTCCTCACAGCTTCCTCCTCCATCCGCCCAACCTTTGGGAAGGACAAATCCTGCTGGGGGGAAACAAGGGCTGAGCGCTTTGGCTTGGGGGTTCCCCCTGCCCAAGTCCATCTCTGGAACTCACCGGGCATCCTGGGACCATAAAAACCTCCAAAACACCAAGATTCAGCCCAGAAAATCCCAAACCACTGAAAGTCAGGCAAAAACTCCT